TATGTGAAATATAAACTTTTTGGTTGGTTTTCTTAGCTGAATTCCCTAGATGATTGATATGTTTGCAAATTTATCACACTTGTTCACATACATTCCTTTTTCTTTCGGCGTTAAATATTGTAAATACTGTTTTCTTTTACCGTTTTCCTTTCCAGTTAGTGTTTTCTCTGTTCTTCTTTATTTTCTGTCGCTTTAATTTCAACAGTAAGGAGTTGATTCTAAGGTGTCATTCAAAATACACTACTCTCATTCTTGTTTTTCTAACAAATAGATAAACTGGTATGAGATAGTGCTTTACGAAACATTCATAATAGGTTGTAAGATTTTTATGACTGGCCTTTTTTAGACATTGCTTTACGCATGACGCGAGAAAAGAACTTCAGTACCGTATCTATAATTATGTGAGAATGATGGTTGAGTAGACCGAAGTATACAATTCTTTATCCGCATTCACTTATTCTTATTTGTGTAATCGTATCTGCAAGATGTCCAAAGTGACTGAGAAAATATGTCCGACCGATAGCTACCAAGTTGATGTAGTGGTCAGACTTGGGTATCACTATGATCTGGAAAGCTACACCAACTGGAGTGCTTATTCCTTGAAGTCATACTATGGTTTTGTCCTGGCTGGTTTGGGTGTAATTCCATATAAGATTTATTTATTTGATTTATAGCACACAGTAATCTAGTATTATTTACTTGATGACGTTTCGAGCATAAATTATTGCTCATAATCATACCAATGTAGGTGCAAAATAGCCAGAGGTTTTTTCCCATAGATGATCAGCAATATCATGTTGATGACATCTTCCTTATGGAAAGGGAGGGATTAAGTTGTTTTAGCCCTGAAAATAGCATAATCCTTCCTATCCTGTGGTATGAGTTTTTCTTGTCTGACGTTGGCGCAGTCAAATCTGAATAGTTGATGCTGTCTGAACATCTTAACTTCAGTAGCTTTAGCCTGATACATATATTTAACCCAGTGGTTGAAAGATGTATATCTAATTTACTACGCAATAGTTCCATGACTGTTGTGTCTATGTTCTCCTATTTGGCTTATTGGCTTAGGGTTTTGGTAATAATGAGGAACTCGAATGACGTATGAATATTAGTGACTTTTTAATAGATGAGAATTACAACATACCATTGTAGAGTATCCTAAATATTATCCATATATTATCCTCGTAAAAATGATTTTCTAGTGTGATGAATATCATATAATTGTTGGTCAAAAAACGAGTGGACAATTAATCTGCAAAAGTTGTGAGTTTTAGGTGATAGATAACATTCATCCTGTCTTTGATCTTTTAATATTTTAAAGAAGACACTTATTAGCGAAATACTTCAGTATGACCTGGATACTGTGTTTTAAATAAACGCACTTCTTTTGAACTCCTCATTGTTCTTTATGTTCAAAATAAACAGAAAACTGATTGTGTACCCACACAAGTATTTCTATGAAATGCGGTGTGTCTAAGTAACCGATGCTCACCTAAATCATCAGTTTTGTTTCTCCGATAACATTTGCATATAAATTATTCATGATGAATTTATCAACAGTATTAATGTTTATACTGTGAGATAATAATCATTTTGTTATTTATATAGTGTGTGCTTATTAGGTCTTGCGTTACTTTAATTTTAACCTATATGATAGATAAGTTATTACTGAATAAGATAACCATGTGTCCAGTTGAAAGAAAATTTCTCATTTGTAGATTTAAAAAGGCATCCATCTATGAGTGTATCAGAAAATACACTCCTAAACAGTGTATATGTATCGTATGTGAGATCGAAAGGGGATTTCTGCCTATCTATCTATACAAAAGTCATGTAAACATCATGAAGATTAAATAGAAGCAGAGAAAAAAGACATGGAAATTAGTAATGCTCCTTTTGTCTAGATGATGTGTAGGAATATATGTACACTACGAAATTCGAGAATGGTCGTTTGGAAGATAGAATTGTCAGTATAGAGTTGTAATGTTGATACATGAATGATACTTGCTTAGTCTTTGATGAGTGTACATGTAACAATTCTATTATAAACCATTTAAACACTGCTCACCTATCAGTTGATTTTACATTTGAAAATGAAATCAATGATTCGATAAATTTTCTCGATGTCCTAATGACAAGAAAATAAGATGGCGCTCTACTCAGAAGTATATATAGGAAACCGACGGTAAACACACAGCATACACACTTTCTCAGTTTCATGCCGATGAAGTACAAATGTAAGATAATCAGGTGTATGACATTTAGAGTAAGATTGATTTGTTCCAAGGGGTATGTTGAGAAAGAACTACTTTGTATACGTGATATTCTAAGTGAAAATGGAGATCCGGATGTGTTCATCAAAGGTAACATCAACCAAATTGGTCATGAATGGGAACCGATGACATTGGATAGGAAGTCTTTGTTTCTGCACTAACAATTCAAGGTAGATGCTACAAGTGATATCCTTTCACAGCGCCTAGCTAGAACAGTCAATAGGGTAGTTTTATGCAGGTCAGCTATGTCTGTCATTCAGTAGTCCAACAATGCTCAATCCGAGTCTAAGGATTAGCCTACCTAATCATCGCTCTTTATCCTGCAGACATCAGTTCAACTGCTTCTATGGAACTAGTTATATAGGACGTGGGACTAAGCAGGGGTGTCACAGGATACGAGAGCATTTACCAAGTTGGTTCAGAAAGGGTGAAGTGAACGTGTTGAAACGTTCAGTGCTAGTGTACCTAGTAGACACACGGTATTGCATAAATGCTAATAAAGCTTTCAATGTCATTCATCGTATCCGAGAAACGATACCACGTGTAGCTCACCAATGCCTATTCAACGTAGTGGAAAGAATATATCCAAACGTTACCCCTTCCTTGACCTTCAGTAAACTAAGAGCCACCCTTGTCTTCTTTAGTCATTACTCTTTTGTTCACAACCACATCATTTATCTGCATATGTATCATCCAAATGTTGACGCATACAAAGAAGAAAAATCGATTTCCTGATAGTCCCCATTCAGCCACTGGGTCAGAGTTCAGTTCAGTGGTCCACAATTTCTTAATTCTGTCGATTCGCGATACACCGTAACTACTCACTAGAGTTCTCAACTGGCAACTGCTTCATTTATGATTTCGCTGATCCCACAACTCACGGCTTCTCATTAGAACTTCGTGATATCCGTCGTGAAGCATTTAACGAATCAGCACTAAACAGTTATTCGGTTTATTTCCAAGTAGTTTTCATCACGAACTGACAATTCCGATTTTATCTGCACAGTTTTATTATCTAATCCAGATCAGCTTGACCTCCACCCATGCTGAAAATCCTAATTACATCACTAACTTATCATATGCACTTTACACAATCCGTTCTATTCGATTTTTCGATTGGTCACATGCAACGAAATGACAATGGTGATATATGAACATAGTAGGGAGAACTTTAATTATATGAATAACAAATTATTTCACTTGGACTTCATTAATCTATATTCATGCTCCAATATCTTACGTCAATCGACTATTATCCTCTTGATAAGTAAAGTGTGTAGATTGCATTTCTCTTTAGATATCTCATGATGTTGAAGTCTGTAGGGAGTTGGAAAGTAGAAGGTGAGGAAATACACAATGAATTCATTGTATTCTGGAAACTTTGTTGTTTTAGCTTAGCTGAAGTGTTTTGAAAGGAATTAAATTCCAGACAAGAAAACTCTTACGAGTTAAAACTAAAGCCTTGAAGGTCCTACATGTATAGGAGGATGGAGAAATGGTTAGTTTCGATGTGAGAAGTCTTAATACTAAAATACCAATGAATATGATAGTGGAGGCAGTTGGAAATCAACTAGATATTGATTGAGAACTTACTCACGGAATTAAGGTATCGGTTGATGAGATCGTATGAAGCGTATAGTTATGTTTGACTTCTACAGTCTTCAAGCGTCATGACAAAATATATCGACAGGCAGAAGGAGTAACAAACGGGAACACCAATATCCCCAATTGTGGCAGATGCATTTATGAATAGTTGGGAAGACATGGCTTTACAAACCTTTAATCCTGCACCTAAACTATGATGGTGATACGTGAATGACACATTTGATGTGTTGAAATTCGAAGATATCGACAATTTCCTGACATATGTAAACTCAGTAATGGATTCGATGCAATTCATTTACGAGATAGAAAATGAACAAGGAGAATCAGCTATGTTGAATTGTGTTGCCCTATAAGGAAGGGCCATCAGAAACTTCACATAGGATCCTCAACAAGGCTGGAATAAGGGTAGTATTTACACTTACAAACTCACTCAGATAAGTATTGTTGACTGGCTTAAAGATCCGATAGAACGAACTCACCAAAATAATCGAATCTATCAAATTCCATGTAATGACTGCGAGGTCAAATACATAGGTGAGGCTAGGCGTTCGATGTCATTTAGATTAGTGGGGCATAGGAATTTAGCTGAATGTAGAATGATGGATAACAATAAGATGAATGATGTAGAAGGAGAAACTTGGCTATTGCAATGCACTCATGCATTAAGACACAATGACACAATGGGGTGGGATAACACCACTGTACTTGACTCTGAAATAATTAGGTGAAGAGAGAGTGACAGATTGATTACTGTATTTTTGTTAATCGAATCAACCAATACACATTACCTATAATAGAAAGGACACAACACCTATACTGTAGATAGAGAAAACTTTACTACCACTAAAAACGAAGAATCAGAGGCGATAGGACTAAAACAATCGGATATCGAAATTGCTGTGTGATTCCATTGATATGATTATGAGCAATGGTAGTTTATGCTAATTTTTGATAATGATAGTCATACTGATCAATGATAATTTGTGATAATTGGTCATCCAGTAAATAATACTGTGTCACTGTATATTATAAATGAAATGAATCAAAAAAAACCAATTGAATGAAATAATCGATTTGTACCTCAATTGGTGTTATATTACATTGCTTTGCATTTTCATTCAGCCTCTCAAAATGATACAGTCGATATAATTCGTGGACAAGAGATTGAAGTTCCTGCAACACCAACATCTGTTTCTGTCGAATTTTTCACCTGATATATAAACTATTCAATTATCCGTATATATGTATACGTGAATATTGATGAGGTGCCTAGACTACACAGAGGTGCTGGTTCACATATGTCTCTGTATATGTATATTATTATGTGATTATACTGATTTATTACTTTTTGATATGCAGTTGTACGGAAATAGACAGGTCATTTCTTGTTCATTGAGAAGTCGGAATTTGTAGATGTTTATTTCTGTCAATTATATTTTCATTCTTTGTTTATCTCTACTGTTTTGTTTTTGGTTGTTTCTTCCTCTTCTTTTTCAATTGTTGAAGGTATAACGATGACGTTTCTTAATACTCAAGTCCTTTGATCATTAGTATGAAAAACCAATCTTCTTTTTGTATGTATTTATAATGAAGTGGATTTTTCTTGCTATGGTGACCGTTCTGTTCATAGCAATAGCCTAGGTTGTTGTGTGACACACCTTCACTTGTCACAGCTTGTCTTTCCTTCCCTTTCTTATTCTGTATGTGTATAATATTTATTGTAGTGAAGATATGTATAAATGCCTAGCAAATAAACTTTTATCTAAGACTCAAATTTGAGATTTCTGTTTCCAATATCGTTAGCATGTGCTCAAGTGTTTAGCGGCGTGCAATGGTGTGCATATTCATGAAGCAGACTTTGAGTTATACTTTTTATATGAAGAATGATAACACTAACTGTAAATTTGTAGACCGTGTGAATCCTTTACTTAGAAATAGAGCTTGTGAGTTATAGCTTCACACTGGTTTTTAATGAATTTCAAATGAGGACTGCTTGTTGAATTTAAAGACGGTTGTTATCACAAACGCGATCCACTTGTGCATTCTTTTAAATACACAGGATATTAGACATTTAATTATTTCATATTCAATGACACGTTGACAATTGTTGTCCGGAACTACTTCTATTGTGAAACCGAAATGTTTTAGGAAGTGACCCATTGTTGAGTAACAAGCGTAATAATTGCTTCATGTTGAACCACGTGGGAAGATTACTGAATTTATGTCGAAGATACAAGTGAGATGTATTTTCATGACAGTCGGAAAACGGTTTACAGTTTTGTGTACTGAGATATCAATCATAGCTATCGTATATACCTTGAAGATGGTGATTGGCTTAACTTAATAAAATAAATTACGTCCATGGACATACTTAATAATGGTCTGATTTTGTGGTGATGTAAGAAGTGTGCTTGAATGTTGTCACGAACTTTTGTGAGAGGTGGAGTTGTGGCCTGTTGGTTTAGAGTTGACTTTCGACCAGTGTGCTGGAGGTTTCAACACCGTCCTATCTACTAAGGTTTAGGCAGCCAGGTAGTAGTAGTAGTAGTATTAGCCCTCACACAATAGGAGGTGTGGCTCTCTTCTACTCTTCACAAATGTGCACAAGGTTGTTGATTGGATTTCAATCCAACTTCCATTCTGCAAATTGAACTAGTCATCAGAGTAGACTAGTTGAACAGTGGTTCATATACACAATTCGTTAACATCGCGTTCGACATTCTGGCTACCGTTACTGACTGTTGTAGTAGGTTTATTTAACTATTGAGTAGGGAAAATTCTTGACTGTTGATTTTTCATGTACTTTGTCTCTGTTAATTCGGGTGCAATCTCACTCTGTATTTTCCTTTGATTACCTCTAGTCGAGCTTCTTACTACTTGTGTTAATCGCTACTTTTGTTGTTTGTGAATAAATGTGAACTTGGAATATGACCGACGTATGTTTTGATAGCTGGAAATGTTTAGTGAACATTCGTTGACATTTTGGTATTTTTACGTAAGAATCGATCAACCAACCTATATGTGGACAAATCACAAATGATATTGTGTACTTATTTATCAACTAATGAGATTCTGTGAGATGGGACGCGCGTCGTGGACTCCTGTACTAGTCACCGAGATCAATATAACATCATGAATATCCGGCCGTATCGAGGCTTGCGTATATGAGCTCACCTGTCAACAGAGGTGGAGCAATTCGACCCTGTACAGCCATGATAAATTACAAGAGTCATTAAAATAACTGATACCCTTTGCAGAAGAGGTGACTATAGTGCTCCAGTGACTTAGTGAATGACACTCTTTCATTTGAAGCGAATGTTACTGGATCCGAGCCTCAGTGGGGAAAATATCACTCACTGACGAGTTCGGAAAGGTGCATGCTGGATTCCTCAACTAGTCACCGAGATCAATATAACATTTTGTAGCATTCTAATGTCCACTGAACTCAACCAAACTGGTCTATCTTTATTCTCAGTATGACGATTCTCGTACGGTTACGTCTATACTAACATAAGCTTTTCTCTGAAGTTATTTGTTCGGTGAATAGAAGAAATATGACAAGTACAGATGACAAGTAACTACCGTTTCTCATCCTAAGAAAATCAAATCAGCCTGAGAGCTCTGTATCTACCTCGGAAATTTCCCATCTGTTGACTGCTAACATTTAACATCAAAGTATAGTGTACCATAGCGTCGTGTTACAGAGCTGATACATAACTCAAACCAGTGTAGAGTGAAGATAAGAGTTTTGGGTTCTAGATTAAGGATTATTCTTCACTGGCATTGTATGTAGTGTCTCAGATAGACTTTTGAGAAGTTGTATATACACATATTTTCAGAGGGAGTGAAAATATATTTGAACAATATGCAACAACAAAGACATTTGCAGGTGATAAAAGGCTGGAGAATAAAATGGTCTGATTTTATTCTGCGAATGTTTTTGTTCTTACATTGTTCAAATTTGTCAAGGGAAAATGTATTTTCCAATGATAGATTCTACAGTCTACTTAGAGTGAAGGAAGTTGCAACAATACTGCAATCTTTGGTGATAACTACTTGTCTCAATCTTGTCAGTAGAATGTGAAGGGTTGTTTGTCCTTTGGAATGTAGACAGAGGAAGTCTTTGTCATAGACGTTCTCCACAAAATGGGGATAAAGACACTCATTTGAAATCTGAAATCACACGTTATATATTCAGCACATAAAAATGGTGCTGCAGGAAAGAGTTATTCTTTTGATGTTGAGAAAGAATCATGATGAATTTCAAGGCAGTAATTATCAATTGGAAATCTGTTTCGTCTTAGTATGAGAATTCAAGCAGTGACTACCCTCCACCATTTGGCATCTCAACCGACTGATGTCAGTACGTGATGAATACTATGTAGAAATCAACCAATCTCCACAAAACGCCAACTGTTTCGATATCCGCCACGACACACGAGTCCATTTCAACTGTCGTCATCACCCAGTATGACTAATAACAGTCCGAATAACCCCAATCTTCTCATATAGTCACACTGATAATTCGTTATTTGCTTTCGAGCAACTCCTTCAAATAAATTCGAGTGAACTCATCGGGTGACCTAAATATATGCTGAACTGAGTTAGTAGAGTTAGGATAGGACAAACACGTACATGTATAATAGACATAAACTACCACTTCACCATATATCTCTCGAAATCTCTACACTGTGCCACGACTTCAAGATAGAAAGAAAGAAAGAGAGAGATATAGAGTGGAGTATGAGGTGATAAAAGTTATGATATCAGACATGAATTAAATCGAAGGTAGATGAATTCACTACAAGTGTGTGATACATTAGAGTTCACACAAAATGAGTTGTGGTTTCGCATATACTACTCGAATCAATGCCAAGCTAAAATTAACTTCACAAATCTCCAAACACTCATTTCTCTTGTCTTATGAGCCATAAACATGAATACTGAATTCATCTCACATCTGTACAACTTTCATTGTTGCTGTGAACTGAACCCACTCCACTCAACACAATTTATGACAACACAAAGGTAAGTAGATGTGAGTGAAAGGTATCATGAATTCCACCATAGTGGATGGATCGCAACTACATCGACTGAATCCATTCCTCTATCTATTGATATATCCCCTATATCTACACTTGACATAAATTGACTTCAATGGGCACAGATACAGTTTAAAAGCTTCGACACATGATTTTATAGGAATTACTCACATCGAAACTGCTTACTAGAGTGTTTCTTACACATTTTATACTGAAATTGTTGGTCTCGATTGAAGGCAACATACGCGAAAAGTGTATAGTGACAGTCACACATTCTATGCAGTTATTGGTAAATCACTATTTGTATATAAATCAAATAATTTACCAATTCTGTTCCTAAGCTTTTCAACAGAATCACTTATTGTACTCATAATTAATAGATGAATGTTCAAGGAATCGTCAAATATGGTAAGTAAATCTCTGACTGAGACAATGTATCAGTAATTTAGTAGTGGAAGGCATTGTCTAACTCATAGTGATCAAACACACACACACACACACAAAATGTTCTCACAGTATCTGATGTTTCAGTGAAATACTGAATGCATCAAATTGTAGTGTATGATCAGTGACTGAGAGGAAATATTTATTGAACAATAAAACAGGTGAGGTGTGTTTTCAGTGTTTGGAAATCTTGATGTCATGAATACGAGTGAAGATAATTCGGAGAAGGTAAGGCTTCCTTTCCGATAACAGTGAAACTATGCACTCATGCTTATACTAATTAGTGTCCAATATGTCTCGTATTCAGTAGTATTAGAACACTGCATCATTTACGCGGTTTCACACAATGGAAGCATGCTTGTCTTCTGTGAGATACAGAAACAGTTATTCCATATTAGATTGTTTATGTATGTGGCATACAATTACGCTCTATTATTTATCAGGTGACACTCTTGAGCATAATTTGTTGCAGTGATTCCTATGATGTGGGTATGGGCACTAAATTCTACTCAAACGCCATGCAGTAAATGATACTGCATCACTGTATCAGCTATGCATAAATATGGCTGCTATTATTGTGGATATTGATGACGTCATTGGAATGCCTTTACACGTATGAAATTCTCTTTATTGAATAATTTTGTTTCTATAAAACAGTATGGCCTAAACTATTAAATTGTTTTGATACTGGGCGATGACTGAAGGTAAAATGGAAGTTTAGGGTGCTG